CGGCGGCCAGCAACGACAGCGACTCCTCTTCGTCGAGCGAGGAGAGCCCCGACGCCTGCCCGCGTTCCCTGTTGGCGGCAAGGAAAATCGCCACCGGCAGTCCCTCGTCGTCCTCGGGCGGGGCCACCTCCAGGGCAACGGAGGCTGGCGTCAAAGAGATGCTGCGCACCCACTGTTTCAATTCGGCCACCAACCAACTGGAAGTGATCAGGAAGTTGAGGCAGATTGAGTTTTGCTGTCAGCGCGAAGCCACATTCGAGAAGTCTCACCTTGCTCGCCTGAAACACGGAGGGAATACACCCGTCCTTCGCGTCGAGATGTTGGCGGCGGTGTTGGTGCTCGACAGCGAAGTGCTGGGGGGCACCCCCCTTCTGTCCGGGGCTCGGGTGTGCGACTTTGCTGCCGCCGCAACTCGCACCTGCCAGGCCTTGGCAGGCATCTTGTGTCACTCTGAGGCGCCCGCCCTGATCGCATCGCGGTGCCCCCACGCGCCAAATTGGCCGTGCCGCAGCTTTTGCTGCCCAGTTCATTCGCATCCAATTAATTTCGTGACGGTCGGTCCACTTGGCTCTGGCCCCCCCGGCACTCTTGCAGTCTCGTGGGCGGCTGCGGCCCTGCATGCAATTCATTTCGCAGCTTGCAGACCCTGGCCGCCGGCCACCCATGCACTCCGCCGCCCCCTGCAGCTCGTTACACGCGTGCACCCCTGGCAGTGCAGCCACCCTGGCAGCCGCCGCCTTGCAACCTTTTGTTTGACGTGTTGGAACTTATTTTCACACAGTAGAAATCAATATGTACATCTCCCATGAGAAGAACCCTACTGGAAGGTCCCTACTGGAAGGTCGCGCAAGAAGGTTGCATTGAAAATCGCGCAATTTGTAGAGCCGCACAAAGGGAATTCGATGTGTAATCCACACAAGAGACATGAAGTGTACATCGCCAGCAAAAGGAATCCGATTGAAACGCCGTACAAAAAAAATTGTATGTGCAATCCGCGCAATTTGGATACATGTATAACTCGCCAACAAAAACGAATATCATTGGAGTGCCGCGCAACAAACATATTTATATGCAATCCACACAATACATATCAATGTATAAACCACCGACAACAAATGCTTTTTTCTCAAAGGGAACCAAAACAATAAACCCGGGGGGGGGGGAATAGACACGGCAAGCCGTAACACCCTCATTTGTTATGTTGTTTGCTTGGAATGTTGATGATAGTGTTTCGTGTGTTCGTGTGTGTGTTTTTTGGAGGTCCAACACTTTTTCTGGCCCCCTTTCAAGCGATTTTTTGTGGTCGTTACACAATGATTCCGACTGTGGTTTCTCAATCGCATTATTTTGTGGGTGGTCTACATATTGATTTCTAGTAAGCTGGTTGCACATCGAACCCCATTTTTGCGCGGTTGTTCACTGTGTTGCCTTGTGTGGGAGATGTACAACTTGATTTCTTGCGTGGGGATTGCAAATAAAAGCTTTTGTTTCCGGATTCTATTGTGGGGTTAGGTGACGACGAAGAGGATGAGAGAGAACACATGACGTGACCGAGACAAGGGACACAAACCGAACAATCAAACCAATCTTAAAATATCAGCATACACCACGAAAGCGATTCCCAAATCGTCCCAGATCTCCCTCCTCAACCTCCCCTTGCCCAGATCTTTCGGCTCATGGAAAAAATCCCGACGGGAGGTTTTCCCCTATTTTCGGCCTCGGGGGCCCTCACCAAACCTCGGGACCGTCCAAAAAGCACCCTCAGTGAAAATTTTGTTCTGGGGAGTGGGTCGAGGCCTCTGGGGGCCGACGTCAGGAACAAATCACGACGTCGGGGGCCTGGGTCTTCCGCTCCAGCCCGCACGCCGCGAGTCTTGGGCCGGACGGCAGAGGGGCGTCCGCGAAACGGGTGGTGGCGAAGTCGGCTGCGTGCCGTTGCTGTCGGCCCCGCCGCCACGCCCCATTCCTCGAAACATGGGCGCCCCTGGCGCCAGGACGTTCCTCGGCGACCAGCCGCGTGAGCCGAACCGCTGACCCCCCGATCCCTCCTTTTGGTGGCGAGCGAAGGGAGGAAGTGAGAAGACGAGGGCTTTCCCAGGAGGCGGCGGGGGTTTTCAGAAGCCTTCGCGCTTTCTGAAGGGTTTTCTGCGTCTTCGGGGAAGGCTCAGAAAACGTTTCAGCAGGCCCGGGGAGTTCCGAGCCGTCTGGGAAAGCCGCCTCCTTCTCACTCCCCCCCTCGCTCGCCGCCAATCCTTGCCGACCGACCCAATCCCCCCCGCCTCCGCTCTCTAGCCCCGCCGTCGCGAGTCGATCACGGCGGGCGTCTCTGCCCGGCCCCCGGCCGCCGGCGCCTGCACGGATGCGCTCCGGGCCAGGCGTGCACCACCATGGGTCAAGCAGTGGCGAAGCGTCTTGGCTCGCCTACAGCCCTACCAAACAATGTTCTAAGAACCTTTCGTGGTTTCCACGAAATGCTATTCGAACATTTCTGGCGGATATTTTCTTGTTTTATCACATCGGGTTTATGTTCTAAGAACATTGCTTGTGATTTTAGAACATGTTGGGGTTCTATGAACATTTCGTGGTAGGACTATCGGAATGCCGGGACGGTCGGTCCCTGCTCAAATGGGGGGTGTCGGCGCCTCCCGTCGGGGGGCTCTGGCACACGCCGCGCGCCCGCGGCCCATATCGCGGTCGCCGGCGTCCCCCTCTTCTTCGTCTCGGGGGGGGGGGGCGCGGAGGAAGGGCTCTGGCGCGCGCCCCGGGGTCTGAGGGAGAGAGGGACGAGGTGGGGCGGCGATGAGGAGGAGAGGGAGGAGGAAGAGGAGGAGGAGAAGGAGGAAGAGGAGGAGGTGGAGGAGGAGGAGGGAGGAGGAGGAGGAGGAGGAGGAGAAGGAAAGCAGGGATAGGGGGGGGCGGGGAAGGAGGAGGAGGAGGCGGAGGAGGAGAAGGTGGAGGAGGAGAAGGAGGAGGAGGGGGAGGAGGAGGAGTTTGATGATGAGGAGGAGGAGGAGGAGAAGGAGGAGGCGGAGGAGGAGACAGGTCGGGACAGGAGGAGGAAGGGGATGAGGAGGAGGAAGGATGTTCAACGACGGGGGGTGGAGGAACGAGCTCTCATTGCGAGGAGCCTTCCAGACACGGCCCTGCAGCAGCCGGCGCGGCGGGGGGGACCGTGGGCGCGCCTTCCACCCTGGGGGCGGGCCGCCAGGCTTCACTCAGGAGGCAAAGAAACACGCAGACACAATTAATCGCCGAGTCCCAGGAAAATATAGGAAAATATGGGAATTGGGCGGGAAGACAAAAACCCAGAAAATATGGTAAAATATGGGGGATCATCTTATTTGTGTATATTTATTTGTGTGTCCCATGGCTCCTTCATTCACGCAGCGGGCGGGTCTCCTGGCGGGCCGAGAACTGCTTGTCGTTTTCCTCCTCCCCCAGACCCCAGTCCAGCACAGGTTGTTAGTGTATAAGGCTTTGAGGGTCCAGGATGCGCCCTCGCGCCAGCATGCCACGCGACACGGCCAGCCTGCGCTTGGTGTGATGTTCCATGCCTGCGCCCCTTTTCCGATATTTGGGTCCACTTGGTTCTGCAACGCGCTACCCCAGCGCAGCCAGCGTGTACAATGCAGCATCTTCTCGGTTTGTCGAGCAACAGGTAGTAAGCTCAGGTCGGGCCTGTGCCCCTACAGGCGGATCTTGAACGAAAAATCAGAAATAGCAAGAACACATTCCAAACTAGTCAAATAGATTTAAAATCGTCCCCAGACTATTTTGGAAAATGCCTTCTGTAGAGGGACAGGTCCGATTTAATAGTAAGCTCACAGACCCCCTTTGCGTAGTGCAAAACCACGACGAGAGTTTTGTTGGCAGTTTTCGGCGCCCGGGGGCCCCGGCGGGGCCTCGGCGCTGTCAGAGGACGGCTCAGGATGAAACGACCGGTCCCAGGCAAGGAGTCCACACCTCTTGGGGAGCCACGCTTCAAACAAAAACGCAGCGTCGGATACGTGAGCGTTTTTCTCAATTATTTTGCCGATCGGCGCGGGCCCTCGCACCCTCCCCTCCCCTCCCCCACGTGAAGTAGATCTTGGCTGGTTTTGGCGCCTGTTTCGAGCAGGTGGAGTCCCTCCCCCATAGGACGCACTGCTACAAACAGTCGCACTAAGCAGAGGTCCAGAGCCCTCCCCCCCCTCCCCCCCCTTCCGCCCAATGTCGAAACGCCGAATCAAAAAACGCTCACTATTTGGGTCCTTATCCGTCTAGCCCTCATTCTCCCTCCTCATCCCCCCTGTTTCGTCCTCCGGCATCTCCCACTCGTTCTCGTTCTCCACCGCCTCGTCCTCTCAGGCAGACTTGGGATAAAGGTAAATCGTGAATCGGTCCAGGGCGTTCCGAAAACCGTTCGGGGCGCTAAATAAGGCTACTGCTTGTGTGCCTCACTCGCCTGTGGGTTCTTCGACCGCTCCGTGGCCGCCACCTCATGCCTGCCGCCGCGCCCTCGCCCGTGGGTGCTTGGACCGCTGTTCCTTGAACCCACCCGGCCTCGATGGCCTGTCCACGAAGGATTCCTGACATGGGCCACACGGGTGACCGCACACCCCGCGGGGCCTCTGTCTGTCACACGCTGCCGCGCGAACGAAACGCAGCCTGGACCCGCGCGCTGGCCTCAGGCTTCTCTCTGAGCGCCAGGATTATGATGTCCTAATCTACTTTAGCCATGATCACGAGAAACAATTTCGAGCCCTCCCCAAACATACCGAAACTCATTGGTTTTCACCTGTCGAGCCTTGGGAGACGCTCGCCCGACACTGTTTCGACACTGTTTTGACACTTTTCCGGGCGCTCGACATTGTCTCTGGGATGTGGTCCTCAAGTACGACGGGAGTCACATAACGCCAGGACCCCCTCGGCGGAGGCGCCAGAGCCAGCACGGCGCGGCGGCGGCGCAGACGACCGCGGCAGCGGCCATAACGACGACGGTGGGCGGGGCGCTGGCGCAGGCAGCGGCCCCCGCCGTCGACGGCGTGCCGCGGGAGGCCGCCCCGGCGCAGGAGGGGGTGCGGGTGAGGGGGCTACAGTGAAGTCGTGCTTGCCCTTTTACAGGAGGAACATTCAGAGGTAGTCAAATAATCGTCGAGGACGATTTTTCTGGTATGTTAGACCATTTGGGGGCACTTAAAAAAACTATTTTTAATGTTTCGCCAAAAATCCCCCTGTAGGGGGACATGCCCGAGCTAATCCTAACCCTCCCTTGGTTGGGTTCTCGTTTGGGATAGAGCACGGTGGTCTCCGCTCCTCCTCTCCTCCCTCTCGTCCTCCTGCTGCCTCCTGTGCAGCTGTCGCCACTCACGTGGGCTCCTGAAAGGTCCAGTGGGGTGGGGGGCCACGCAGCTCCAGCGGGGACCTCGCGGCGCCCTGGGGGGCTGCCAACTGCGCAACGGTCACCGCTTGCGTGGGCTCCTGGGAGTTCCAGCGCAGCGGGGGGCCACGCAGACCTCGAGCCGCCGCGCTGCTTTGTTTCCATGTTTGGGTCCAGGGGGGTGCGATTTGCACCGCCGTCGCCGCGGGCTCCTGGGAAACGTGCGGTTGCGCAGCAATGCGGAACAATGCAGGCCCTGGACGACGGACGGCGACGGGGCGGCGACGGCCACGACATGGCCGACAGACCGCCCGTCAGGCCCAGGCCCAGACGATGGGCGGCGACGAGGCGGCGACGGGCCTGCGACGGCGACGGTCCATCCGCCAGGCCGACTCCCAGGCCCAGACGACGGCCGGCGACGAGGCGGCGACGGGGCGGCGACGGCGACAGCGTCGCCGCCAGACCGACCTTCGCGCCCAGTGCCTTCTTCCAGCCAGTTCGTCCGCCCAAGCAGCCACAACCCCGAAGGGCAAGCACGGTTTGGGAAGCAAGTGAGTTGAGACGTTGAGCAACCTCGCGATATAGCTCAAGCGCGCGGGCGCGCGAGGCGCGCGCGCGCACCTAGCTTTGAGTGGTTCGCGCACACTGCCAACTCGCACGACAAATGCGTGGGAAACAGCAAACTGCGGGGAGAAGAATCAGGAGGGAAAGCAACACACAGGCACAATGAATCGTCGACTCCCAGGGAAATGTAGGAAAATGGGGAGTGGGGGGGAAGACGAAAACCAAGAAAACATGGGGAATCCTGTTATCTGTGTTTATCTACTGGAGGATGACGATTAATAAATGACCGGGGGTCGTGTTCACGCGGCGGCGCCCGGGATGACGATTAGTTCAAACCGGCCGCGGGTTGGAAAACTACGTTTTAAGTCGTTGTCCTCCAGTCCGAAAACTATGCAGAAATAGCAGAAAACTATGTGTTTTCATCGTTCGCGCCCGTTTCTTTTTATGAATCGCCATCCCGCATTATTTGTGTATCCCAGGGCCCCTTCAAAAGGGGTGGGGTGGGGGGGGGGCGGGGGCCTGTTATCTGTGTTTCTTTCTTTGTGGGGAATCCTGTTATCCGTGTTTCTGTTATCTTGTTTGTGGGGAATCCTGTTATCCTGAAAACCAAGAAAATATGGGGAATCCTGTTATCTGTGTTTCTTTCTTTGTGTATCCCAGGGCCCCTTCAAAGGCGTGGGGTGGGGGGGGGCGCGGGGCGAGGCCCAGACCGTGCGGCAGCAGCTGGAAGTGGGGGGGAAGACGAAAGTGGGGGGAAGACGAAAACCCAGAAAATACAGGAAAATACGGGAAGTGGGGGGGAAGACGAAAACCCAGAAGATATGGGGAATCCTGTGATCTGTGTTTATCTATTGGTGTATCTCAGGGCCCCTTCAAAGGCGTGGGGTGGGGGGGGGGCGAGGCCCAGACCGTGCGGCAGCAGCTGGAGGAGCTGCGCCGGCAGCTGGCCGTGGAGGCCCCTCGCCGCCGGAGACCGCCCGCGGGCAGAGCTCTGTCTCGCCCCTCGTCCTCCTCCGCGTCTCCGCCTCCTCCCCCCCGTACGCCTCCCCCTCCTCCTCCTCCTCCTCCTCCTCCTCCTCCTCCTCCAATCCTCCTCCTTCAATCCTCCTCCTCCTCCTCCTCCTCCTCCTCCAATCCTCCTCTTCCTCCTCTTCCCTCCTCCTCCTCTTCCTCCTCTTCCTCCTCTTCCTCTCCTCCTCCAATCCTCCTCCACTCCTCCTCCTCCCTCTCCTCCTCCGCCTCCTCCTCCCTCCTCCTCCTCCTCCTCCTCCTCTCCTCCTCCTCCTCCAATCTCCTCCTCTCCTCCTCCTCCTCCTCCTCCTCCAATCCTCCTCCTCCGCCTCTTCCCCCCCGTACGCCTCCTCCTCCTCCTCCTCCTCCTCCTCCTCCTCCTCCTCTACCTCCTCCTCCTCCTCCTCTTCCTTCATTGGGCCCCCCTGGGGCAGTGGCGGACTGATGGATTTCTTTCCCCTTTTCCTTCCCCCTCAGTGGCGTGCGATCCTCCTCCTTCATTCCTTTTCCTCATAGGTTACTCCTCCCCGTCGCACCCCGAGGCCAGTCGAGAGGGCGAGCCGGGCGTTTCGCTTGGGACTTCCGCACCCCTTATGACCCTGATGCTGAGAAGTTGACAACAGTTTCACAGATTGATGGCGGGCCGCGTCCAAAATGTTGTTCTCGCCCTAGCGCCGCGCAGACTCGTTATACAATTTTGAGAGAGCGTCACGGATTGATGGCGGGTCCTTTTCAAAATGTGGCTCTCGCCATAGTGTCGCGCACCTTCGTTTTAAGAATTCGCAAGACTTTCACCCATTGAGGGCGGCGGGTCGTTTTCAAAATGTTGCTCTCGCTTTAGCGTCGCACACACTCGTTTTTCTGCTACTTTACAAGAGCTTCACGGATTGAGGGCGGGTCGCTTTCAAAATGTGGCTCTCACCTTGGCGCCGCGCACATTCATTTTCATAGGTTCTCATGGTTAACATACGAGGAGTGGTGTCTTGGAGCGGGTCCGGATTCACAGGGCGCAACACTTACGTTGATTCGTTGTGTTGAAGTCCCAGGAATGGTGCTCTGGCGCAACTCAGGATTGCCAAGCCGTAACAGCCAGGTTAGTTTGTTGCGTTGAAGTCCTGAGAGTGGTATTTTGGCACGCTTCAAGATGCTCTCACGGTTGCCCCCCAACGGGACAATTCCCTCAGTGAAAATGACCCCGTGCAGGGGCATATAAAGAGGGATCTTGGAGGGAGGGTGTACGTCAACATGATTGATGAGTCTTGGGTTTACGTTGGCCCTCCTCCTCGTCATCCTCCTTCTCACAGGAAGCTGGATACGACGTGCCCTGGGGCAAATCTTCAAGATCGGCACCGAGATATGGCGACACCAATCTCAGGGATAGGGATGTGATTCAGGTTGGTAATGCCCCGCCCCACGGAGGTCCCCGGGCAGTTTTTTGGTCACGGACGTAGTTCTGATGTCTTCGGGTCCAGGGGGGCGAAGAGGGAAAGGACGTTTCTTGGGGGGTCGGGGTGCCTTCTTGGGCCGTCGTAGGGCGCTCTTGTCACCTCTGGCGTCTTCGGATGCCAGCTTGGGGACCTCCTTGAGCCGTTTTGGGACTGTGTCGAGGCCTTCTTGGGCCCATTTTGGAACTCTCTGTCTTGGGCCGTATTTGGGCCTTCTTGGGGCCTTTTCTGGGCCCTCATGAGAGCCTTTTGGGCCGTCTCGTGCTGTCAGAGGCCAGAAGTAGGCGAGGACGTAGACATCTGTCGAAAACCATGTGAAATCAATCATGTTGACATATCCCTCCTAAGGTCTCCTGGCGCCATTGGGAGCGTACGAGCCATCTTGAAGCTCGAATGAGTTTGCCGTCTTCTGGAAGGCCTGTGGTGAATATCACGAGGGACACTCAGAGCCGCCCGGCCACCACCCGACAAAGCTGTGATGAGCTCGTCCAGGGTGGGCTGCGCTGTGCTAGTGGAGATGCGTGGGACCACCTGTCTCGCTACGTGGCCGTTTTGTTCCCAGAACGGGCTCCGTCCCAGGGTTCTCTTTTGATTTTGTAATTCCCCCCCGGTGCCAACTTATGTAGGGCCGGTGGCATTTCCACAGGATAAAAAAAAACTAGGTAAAGTCCAACGCGGCGCGGAAAACGTGAAAATGTTTAGTCTTTGCATGCCCGCTCGAGGCTGGTGCGCCCCCCGCGCCAAACAAATCAGGATGTCTCGAGCGAAACGCTTGTTTCACAAAATTTGAAGGGCCTGGGCGCCCCAGCATGCCCCAGGAGGCCCTGGGAGCACGGACGCGGCGTAGATGTGCACGCTCATGTTCGGAAGGCCGGCGCTGGGCACATTGTGCAGGCTAGGGCTCACGCCTTACACGAATTTCTCGAAGGCGTTGTTAAGATCAAGGCGCAGTTGAGATTGAATGAAGCTGGGTTGTCGGAGGCAGAGGCCCACCGCAGGACTGGCAACTTTCTTGCTGACCTCGGCGCGAAGGCCGCGTCAGACTTGCACCCGAAGGATCATGATGTTCCCGCGAGGACTGATCTCCGCATTCGATACACTAGTGTGTTTTGCAAGTTGGCGCTCTAATTGCTTCCCCACTTCCCCTCGCTTAAGGACTTTGGCGAGGTAGAGTATGAGAAGCCTGGGGGGTCTAAGACTAATGTTGTTCCAGACACGTGTTCTTTCGCCAGGATAGGTGGGTTCGGGAGGTGCACTACTTGCGTCAGGGCCTTCAGGACCGATTTTGCCTTCAGGTTTGGAGCTGGGCCCATCCCTCCTCCCAGGAAGTGCTCTGGTCCTCCCGGAGGTTGGGATTTCGACCAAGTCAAGACCAACAGGCATTCGATTGTCGGTCTGGCTTGCTCAGATTTCTCCACTTTGTATGTCCGTTCATTGTATGGCGACGATTTCGACGGGTGCCCCGCTCGAGTCTGACATGTTTTTTTGAGACGCTGCCCTGGCCCTGGGCCCATGGACTCTCGCCTCAGATCTAAGTGGAACAACTTGCCTGCTGGCATTTACCCGCAGCAGTAAAAGTCTTCTGTACACCTTATGCGATGCTTAAGAAAACTTAATTTTTCGGCCAGAGTCTCGATTATTCTTAATGTTTCAATGTAAATCCTAAGATTTGAATAGAATTTTTGGGTTTTTATTCAAGTTCTGAGACTATGAATTTCTTAACCCATGATTTCTAAAGCATTTCGCAGGGTGTACGTGCTTTTGTTGACTGCCCCTCGCTAGCGGCCGCCGATGGAGGAGCAGCGTGTGGTGCCGTGTCTGATCGGTTTCCTGCTGCTGCTCCCCAGGCGGAGGCGCTTGCTGACGGGACTGCTGCCGCGCAGGCTCGGCCTGGACGAGCGGCCTCGCCAGCTATGGTTTCGGCCCCCGCCGAGGACGGTCGACGGCACGGTGTCACCCCGCCTCGTCCCGATCTGGAGGAGGAGGAGGAGGAGGTTGCCAGGTTCCACTTCGAGCCCTTTCCGGGGGCATGGCGAGAGAGGCGGGGCTAGGGCCCTTCGCTCACTGGCGCCGAGCATGGTCGCTGCTGGGCCTGCTCCAGGGTCATCGGGCGAGGCGCGAGCGTCGGTGCGAGCCACAACCCTCGAAGAGGATGAGGCCCCCTCTGGTCACCCCGCCCAGACCGTTCACGCGTCCTGTTAGTTGCCAGGCCAAAGTTAACAGGCTGTGCCGAGCCGCAGGTGGCGTTCCTGTCGAGGTTTCCTCGGATTCAGGCTCGGATTAATCTGCGCTGCGGCCTTTGGCCCACGGGGCCGCCGAGGCCCCCAGGTCTCTGTCCAGACATCTCCCTTTTTGGGGCGCCTGGCACCTGGGTTTTCGGGCTCCTTGTGCCCCTCCTCCGCGCGGCAACGCCCCCCGCGTTCTGTTGCCCGCGCGGGTCGCCCCGCACTGCAGACCCACGGTCGCGCTGTCGCCGTGCTCTGCAGGGCTCAGTGCCCACTGCTTGACAGCTGTAGTTTTGCTTGCAGAGCAAAAGATTCGATCCACAACATAATAGAGCACAATCGCGGCATGGCACATCGCAATTCAGAACGGCGCAGCACAGCACAGCCCTCGGCATGGTACATCAACATCGACACACTCACTCAGCATTGCAACTTGGCACGTTCCTTGGCACGTTCCGTGGCGCGTCCTGTGGCGAGTCCCCCTGGCACATCGCGCGGCGCGTCCCCTGGCACGTCCCGTTGCACGTCGATTGGCACATTCCGTAGCGCGTCCTCTTGGCACGTCCCCTGGTGCGTCCCCATGGCACGTCCCCTGGCACGTCGCCTGGCGCGTCCCTTGGAACTTTCCGCGGCGCGTCATCCTAGCATGCCCCCCTGTGAATTGGCTCTGGGGCAGCTACCATGTGCTGGGGCAGCTCTCGAGCTTAAGATCCATATCACTTCGGTCAGGACTCGTATCCAACGGAGGAATCGATCCACAATGCTGTAGAGCACAATCGCGGCATGGCACATCGCAGTCAGCACGGCAGCACAGCACAGCCCTCGGCACGGTACATCATGAACGATACACTCAGCATTGCATTTGCCCGTCGCCGAATCAGGTGTTTGTGAAACGTTGCCATGTCTTGCATTTCCATACTCCTTTCTGGGTTCGTGGGTCGATTATGTTGACGGTCCCGAGGCCCGGCGAAGGCCCCCACGGGCCGAAAATAGCAAAAAACCTCCGGCCCTGATTTTTTCACGACGCTATCAATTTTTGGGAAGGAACAGGGCGGGTTCGGAGGTGGCCCGCTGTTCCTCGGGCCGTTCCCCGGTTCCTCCCCCAGTGCCCCTCGTGCTTGAGGCGCGCCTTGGGAAGGCTTCAACCGTTTCGGCAGGCTCGCGTCGTGTCGACCGAGGGCGACCCCACCGCCGGCGTTCGACTCGGGCCGAACGTAAGGGGGGGATAGGGAAAGAGGGGGTTACGAAGTCTGCTGCATACCGCTGGTTTCGGCCCCGCCGCCGGGCCCATTCCTCGATACATGGGCGCCTCCCGGCGCCGGGAGGCGCTGGGAAAATCAGGTACGTAAGCTAATTCTCTACCCTACCCTTTGTTATCCCCCCCTTTCGTTTCCCCCGATCGACGTAGTGGACCCAGGAATCGTCGATGTTGAACGATCGAACGTTCCGGAAACGGCTGATCGTTCCAGGTCGAACAGTCCCTGCGGTGGCAGGAGCCAGCGCCAGGGACACGAACCTGCCGTATCCTGCGTCCCTCGTGGCACCACGGTGGCCGCAGCCATTTTGGCCCCCGCCGCCGCCGTGCGCTCGCCGCGTCTGCCGCCTCACCTTCCCAGACCTCTGGCGCCTTGGATATTTCTCCGTGCGCGGACCCCGGCAGTCCCGACCCCTGCCCCAGGGCCGGCTCCTTGTCCTGAGCAGTTTTGCTGACGGCCCTGGGGCCCGGCCTTCATTCGATTGTTCTACTATGTTGGAGCACTTTTGGACCAGATTCAAGCTCTTGTCCAAGACCCGCCTGTGTGGGGAACGTGCCCGACCCGAGCCCAGCCGGTGCCCCACAGAGGCGGCCACCCTGCCGAAACAGCCCTGGTCCTGAGCTCCCCGAGGCGTCGGAGGTCTGAGCCCCTCCCCCCCGCGCGGCAGACGCCCCGCCCGCGCACGACATGCCCGGCTCCCCCGGGCCCGCGCGGCCCACGCCTCGCTCCTGTGGCTGTGGGGCCGCCGCCGCGGCCCGCGCTGCCCGCCTCGCCACGGCGCTGCGCGCGCCGCGCGCGCCGCGCGCGCGCAGCGCCAGAGTGGCGCCGGTCACCCCCGGCAGCGTCGGCAGCCTCGTCGCGCGGCTCTCGCCGTGAGCCGAAGACGGGGAAGCGGCAGAAGCAGAAACACTTTCGGCGCTCCGCGCGGATTTTGTTGGATCTGCGCTGGGCCGCTGTGGCGGCGCCTCTGGCGCCGCCCCTGGCGCGCTCCGCGGCGCACCATGGAGAGGGGCCCAGCGCAGATCCAAGACATCTGCGCGAACCGTCAAAAAGTATGTTTATGCCATTCGTTGTTCCTGTAGTGAAGGAAACGGAGCCTGGGGGAAATTGGTCTTGAGGTTTTTATTGGAAAGGGCAGAGGCCCAGGGTTCTCTTTTAGTAGGTTTACCCATGGACCCGACGACTGTAGGGCCGGCGAAATTGTTTGCGATGAATAACGAGGTCGCGTAGGGCCGGCGAATGAAAATCTGAGGATGTCCACGGTGAAACGCTTGTTTTTTGAAATTCCGATCGATAAAATAAAGGGTGCGGGATAAATCTGGGTCAGGGGCACGAATCCATGTTTTTTTTTGTTTGCATGCGTGTTCCCATAGAGTGGCCCAGGGGCACGAATCCGTCCGTGTGTGTGTGTGTGTCTCTGTGTGTGTGTGTGTCTGTGTGTCTGTGTGTGTCTGTGTGTGTGTGTCTGTGTGTGTGTCTGGGTGTGTGTGTGGTTGTGTGTTGTGTGTTGTGTGTTGTGTGTTTACGCATGTTCCTATATAGTGGCCCTCTCCAGGAGGCCCCACGAGGGCCCAGCTGGCGTTTCCCCGACCCTGGGTCCAGCACCCGTTTCCCACAGGATCCTTCTCTTTCGTGCCAAGGTTCGAGCGCGGCATCGGCGCGGGCAGCCCCCGGGCCTCGACCTGCGCGCCCTCCGGGCGGAGGCTCCGCGGGAGGCCCACCTTTGGTGCCCCGCCGCGCCTGGCCTGGGCCACCCCGGGCCCCGGCATGGGTTGGTTCGACGACGCGTAATCGGCGTCCTCCCCCTCCTCTTCCTCCTCCTACTCCTCCTCCTCCTCCTCCTCCTCCTCCTCGCTCCTCCTCGCTCCTCCTCGCTCCTCCTCCTCCTCCTCCTCCTCCTCCTCCTCCTCCTCCTCCTCCTCCCTCCCCATCCTCCCCCTCCTCCTCCTCCTCCTCCTCCTCCTCCTCCTCCTCCTCCTCCTCTCCTCTCCTCCTCTCCTCCTCCTCGTCCTCCTCCTCCCCCTCCTCCTCCTCCTCCTCGCTGTTCCTCCTCCTCCTCCTCCTCCTCCTCCTCCTCCTCCTCCTCCTCCTCCTCGCTCCTCCTCGTCCTCCTCCTCCTCCTCCTCCTCTCCTCCTCCTCCTCCTCCTCCTCCACCTCCCCCTCCTCCTCCTCCACCTCCTCCTCCTCCTCCTCCTCCTCCTCCTCCTCTCCTCCTCCTCCTCTCCTCCTCGTCGTCCGCCTCCTCCTCCCCCCCCTCACCCCACATGCTAATACTATATGTTCGTCGCCTCCCCAGGGGCGACGCGCCTACCGAGAAAGCTGATAGTATACGCGACGTGGCAGGCGTTGTCTGGCCACACCGCTCGGGAAGGTATCTACTGCAAGATGGGTATACCATGTGTTCGGGTCTGGCGCGCGCCTCCAAGGAGGGCATATAGTACCAGCATGTCTCTGTGCGTCACATGTAAGATTATGATGCTCCAGCCTACTATGCCTGGAGCACCAGAAATAATTTCGAGCACCCAAAACGTGCCGACACTCCAGGGTTTTCGCGTGTCGGGCCCTGGGAGGCACTCGTCCGACACTGTTTCGACACTCTGTCGACGTGCTCGAAAGTATTTCTGGGATGTGGTCCTTAAGTACGATGGGAGCAACATACATGTAAGAGTGACCTTGCTGGAGTGACGTTTGGTGCTGGCCCACAGGGGTCCCCTCAGCGCCGGCCTGCACGCTTGGGTTTGGCGTTCCCGCCCCGCGGCCCCCTCGGGCCCCGCACCGAAGGTCACTCCCCAGACACGATCGCGTCGTGAAACAATCAGGACGCGAGGTTTTTGCCAGTTTCCAGCCTCGGGGGGCCCTCGCCGGGCCTCCTCGGGACAGTCAACAAATTATTCGGGCTGAAGAACCGGTCCCGGGGAAAGGGTCGGGACTTCAGGGACGCCGTCCTGAAGCAAAAATTCAGGACGTTGCATGTCTGGGATATGGGGTCACTCGCGCGTGTGGCCGATGGGTGCACGGTGCACGCCCCCCTGCCCGAGGCCAGGACGGTGTGCGCGCCATCCCGGGGCCCGAGGGCCCTTCGCCGGGCGCGGCTGTGGCATATCCTAAGATCCGACGTCGTGATTGTTTCAATACTTGGTCCCCGAAGTCTCGACCCGCTCCCCAGGACCGGCTTTCCATCCTGAGTCGTTTTTTCACGGCCCCGGGGCCCAGCGAGGGCCCCTAGAGGCCGAAAAACACGAAAAACCTCCGTCCTGATTTGTTCCATGCGTTGGAGGTCTGGGGCTCTGGCATGTGTGGACGCTTCCTGCGCCTCAGGAGGGCGGCGGCTGGCGCGCACCCGCTGGGGCCCGCCTTTGCGCGCTGGTGGCGCACCGTCCAGCGCAGCGCGCACTGCTCTCCCGGAGGCGCCGGCGGCTCGCTGCCCTGCAGCGCGCGCGGGCAGGCGGCCAGCTCTGCGTGAGAGTGGCCCTTCGTTTCGCCGGAGTGACCTCGGGTGCAGGCTTATGTCGAGCGTGTCCCCCTACAGGGGGGTTTTCGACGAAAAATAAACAATACCCCAACAATGCTCCAAAAAGGTCAAAACATACTCAAAAAATAGTCCCCATACTATCTTTGGACTATTTGTTGATTATTGTTGGGGTATTTTTAATTTTTCGTCGAAAAGATCTCTGTAGGGGGACAAGCCCGACTTAAGTGCAGGCCCACGGGAGGGGTCCCGCTGGCGCTAGCCTGCGCGCTTGGACCTGGCGTCCCCGAGGCCCCTTGTACATATGGAGCTCCAGCACTGGCTGGCGCGCGTGGAGCCCCCCCCCCGAGCTATAGTGCCGCACTCCAGAGGTCACTTCTGCAAGCGACCCAGACGTGCGACGTGCTGACTTTTTTTTGAGAACGGCGCCCCCGGAAGTCCAGACCCTTTCCCTGGGGCCGGTTCTTCATCCTGAATCGTTTTTTTGACGGTCCCGGGGCCCAGCGAGGGCCCCCATAGGGGCCGAAAATAGCGAAAAACTCGCCGTCCCGAATTTTCTACGCCATCATGTCTGGGGCGCGATAGGTCGCCGCGAGCCCTGGGACGCCCCGCGGCCGCCCTCCGGGGGCCAGGCTCGTCCGCGCAGCTCCCGCGTCGCCCCGCCGCTCGCCCGCGGCGGCCGCCGCAGCCGCGCCCGCCGCCGGTGCCGCCTCGGCCGCGCAGCGGCCGCTCGCCGCCGCGGAGCCGCCGCGCCGGAGCAGCCGCGAGCCCCTCCGCTGGCCGCCGGCGTCCTGTGAGGCGCTGGGGCCCCAGACCCCCTCGCGCCTTGAAAAAGGCTCAAGCAGTGGCGAAGCGTCCTGGCGTGCCTGGTGGGCCGACCAAGCGGTCTTCTAAGAGCCTTTTTGCGGATTCCACGACATGTTCTCAGAACAGTTCTGGCTGGGACTGCCTCGTTTTCACACATCGGCTCCACGTTCTAAGAACACTGTTTTTGTTATCAGAACACGTTTGGGTTCTAAGAACCATTCGTGGTAAGCCTATAGAGATGCTGGGGCGGCCGGCCTCTACTCAAAAGGCACGGCGGGAGCTGCTGTCGCTACTCTCGGCCTCTCGGGGCCTTCGCCGGGCCCACGTACCCCAAGCCAAAACATCGGAAGCACGCCCCGGGGAGGAGCGGGGCCAGACCTCATGGGGGTCGACGTGGCGAACGAGTCGTGGCGTCGGGCGCCTCGGGCCCGAGGCCTCCCCGGCAGCGAGGGCGAAGGCGACCCCCGTCGCCGCCCTGCGGCGGCCGTCGCGCGGCGCGCGCGCGTGGCAGACGTCCCCTGCTGCAGCGGGGAGGGCCGGCGAGGGCCCTGCGCTCGTGGCCGCGGGCGCGGGGCCAGACTCGCAATCGGAATCGACCGCCGCATCCGCCTCTGTGCTCGACTCGCCGCGCGTGGAGGCGCCAGAGGTCGCGACGGTGCCAGCGCCCTCCGCTGCTTCTGCTTTGGCTGCCTCTCAGGCGGCGGCCGCGGAGCCCACGCCCGTGCGCTGGGGAGCAGGCTGGCTGGGCGGGGCATGCGAGGCAGGAGCGGTGCCGTCCGGGACCGTCTCCCCTGGCAGCCTAGAGGCGCCCGAGCCGCCCGTGGGTCGCCTCTGGCACCCGCGCCCAGCAGTCGCTGGCCCCTGGTGGCCCGACGTGCCCTGGCCGCCGCGCCCCGGGGCGCCCTCGCCGCTGCCTGCGACCTCGCCACCAGCATCCGCCCGCTCGGCCTCCAGGGAGCGCCTGGACCTTGGGGAGATGGCCTCCAGCATCGACGCCCTCGCCTCTGGCATCGGGGAGCACTCTGGCCAGCTTCGGCCAGCCCTCGGCGTGGAGGCCGCCGTGGCGTCGAGCTGGCGCACCCTTCCGGCAGCTTCGGCGGATCCCTCGGCTGGCGCTCGCCACCAGGCGGCTGCGGCGAGCGGGGCCGCCGAGGCCGTGGCGCCGGCGCAGCTGAGCCCGCCGCGGCCTGCGGCGCCCGAGGAGGGGCAGCCGCCCTCGCAGGGCGCGGCGAAGCGGGGCTCCCCGCGGAGGTCGGTGGCGCCTCCCCGCGGCGTGCTGCTGGCCGTGGCGTCGCCCTGCCGCGCCCGCACTCCGGGGGCCGGCGCGCGCTGGCCGGGGCCGGGGCAGACCGCCCAGAGCCCCGCAGCGCCCCCGTGCGCCAAGCAGGCGGCCCTCGCGGCAGGGGCGAGCCCCGCCGCCCCGAGCGCCCCGGAGCTCACGGCCGCCCTGGTGCGTGCGGCCCAGGCGTTCCTGCGCGCGCGCGTCGGCTCGCCGGCTGCCCCGGGGGCCGCCCTCGCGGGGGCGGGCGCGCCCCGCGGCCTCGGTGTGGCGCGCCTGCCTCCGCGGGAGAGCTGCTTCGCGCTGCACGACTCGGAGGATGACGGCTCGGGCGGCAGCTCGTTCGACGGCCAGCGCGAGTACGAGGCCTCGGAGGGACGCCAACAACACCACCACCAGCCCCGGCCAGGGTCATCCTGGGCCCTGGCTTGGCGCATGGACCTCCAGGCCCGGGCCAGCCAGGAGGGCCTCTACACCAGTCCAGGGCCCAGGATGGGCCTGGCTAGGGCTGGTGGTGGTGTACTGTTTGGATCGGAGAAACGTAAGACTCGAGTAAGCCAGAACTCGCGTTTGACGACATGTTTTTGACGAGCGCGTCCTGGACTGTGACGGCCCCGTGCCCGTGGGATGTCCGCAGCGGGAGCTCGCGTCAAGTTTCAGATCTGGCCTCGCCATTTTTGTGATGGCCCCCGTCAGTCCAATCCGAGTCCCCCGCACCCGAGTCTTACGCCTCCCCGATTGGAGCTCTCCTGAGGCCATCGACGTGCTGGCCGCCGCGCGCGTGCTGTGCGACGGGGGCCTCGCGCCTGGGACTGCTCCCTCGCCGCTCTGCGCGGCGGCGGGCGCGGGCCCGCCGTCGCCGCCGCGGGGCGACGGGTCGACGCCGCTGGGCAAGCTCTGCGCGGCGGCGGGCGCGGGCCTGCAGCCCCTGCGGGGCGACTGGGCGGCACCGCTGGGCAAGGGGCGCGGCCTCGAGGAGGCGCTGACCGAGGCTCAGCATCGGTGAAGCGATCCCTGTCTTCGAGGCGGGGATGCATACGTGACCACCGCCTGGAGGACGGATGTTCGCGGGCCCGCGGTGGGTGTGGATATATGCTGGCCCCTGGAAGCCAGAGTATACCCATATCCACCGCCAGCTGGGTTCCCAAGATGTCGGTTCCCAGGCGGGATATGGATTGATCCCTGCTTCTCACTATCCCCATGTCCATCCCGATCCCCACCATCCCACCACCACCGTTGGGGATGTGCCCCTCGAGACTGGAAGGGAACAGCCCACATCCCCATGCGGCAGGGTGACTCGGCCAGTGGGGCCCAGGCCGCGCCCGTGGGGATGGGGATCGCTGAAGCGCTGCGCAGAGGCGCGTGCCCGCCTCGCCGCCGCGGCGGCAGAGGGGCGCGAGCTGCAGGAGGGCCTGCAGGCGGAGCGCGCGCGCGTGAGGCAGCTGCAGGCCCAGCTGGACCTCGCCGCCGCCGAGCGCGACGCCGCCCTGTCGCGAGCAGAGCTCTGCGACGCGCTCCTGGGCGAGGCCCAGCGCACGGGGGCGCCGCCGGGCAGCGCTGGCGCGCCAGGCCCCGTGGCCGCCTTCAGCGCTGCGCCGCCGGGCGCGGCAGAGGAGGGCGAGCGGGAGCCCGCGGCGCTCTCGGCGGCCTCCTCGCCCGCGTTCTGGGCGGCCGCCTCCGCCCCCGGAAGCCCCGCGGCCGCTGGGGGCACGCCCGCGACGCCCGCCGCGTCGCGCTCGCCGCGGCGCCCAGCGGCGGCGCCACAAAGGCCCGAGAGTCGGGAGCCCAAGCTGCGGACGCTGCACGCACGCCTCGCGGCGATGGTGGCCGAGAGCAGCCGCCCCATGGCGGAGGCCGCGGACTCGTCGCCGCAGCGTTCGGGCGCAGGCAGGTCGGCGGCGCACCGCCAGGCGCACGGGCTCCGGGCGCACCTGCGCGAGGCAGAGGCTCAGCGCGACCAGCTCGGCCCGCGCGCCCGCTCGGACACCGCCGGCCCGCCGGGCGCCGAGGCGGGCCGCAGCGCCGCAGAGCCGGAGGAGGGCCCCGGCGGGCCGAGCGGCGCCGCGGAGGGCTGGAGCCCAGCACAGGAGCTGGAGGCCACCAGCGCACACTTCGTCGAGCACGAGGCGGCCGACGCGCGGCGGAGGAGGCTGGGCCGGAGCCTCCTGCAGGCGCAGGGCCGCTACGAGGCGGCTGTGGGCGAGCTGGAGCGCCTGCGGCTGGCGCGCTCGCGCGGGTCGACGGCTGGCGGCGCGAGCGCGGAGCGGAGCGCGCGCCAGGCCGTGGCGGCCAGAGCGGCGGAGGTGGCCGACTGCCAGCGGCTCTACGAGGCTGCCGTGGCCCAGCGCGAGCGGTGCGGGCATGCGAGGGCCAGCGTGGCGGCCCCGCGGGCGGGGGCGCGGGCGGGCAGCGGGCTCAGCGGCGCGTGAGGGTGCGCGTGAGAGGGGCCTCCAGGCGGGCGCAGACCGGAGGCCAGGAAGAACGTGGGCACAAGCTCGGGACGTCCTCGGGCTGCAAGCCTCAGCCGGTGCCGGGCCCCCGTCGCCCCATGCCCGCAGGGGCGGCGCTGGCGGGAACCTGGCATCCGCGGGCGTCTGAAGCTCCTGCTCGTCTTGTTGCCTTCGTCGCCGTCCTGGCAGAGAGAGCGCAAGAGCCCTGAGCTGCCATGGTGGTTGCGCCTGCTGTGGCATGTTGGTCTCCCCGTCTGCCCGGGTGCTTCTTTGGCACCCAGCCGCGGGCGCGCTCGGCTATGCCAGGTGGCGTCCGCGCGCGGAATCGGCGGCATGCCGCGCTTGCGGAGCCGCTGCTTTTTCTCCCCAGGATCCCGCCCCCCCTTTCTCTCCTCCGTGCCCCGCGAAGAAAAGGCTAGTCGTCCAATCCACCGGTCGACGACGACCCCTCGCAGAGGGGAGGGGAGCGACGATGAGGGGCCGGAGAGGAGGGGGGGAGGGAGAAAGAGGGGGAGGGGGAGGGGCAGCGGTAGGAGGAGCAGGAGGGGGAGGGGGCCCCCCGAGTCCACTCCCTCGTCCTTCTCTTCCCCTCCTCCCCCCTCCTTCTCTACTCTTCCTCCCCTCCCTCTTCCTCCTCCTCCTCCCTCCGCTACCCCGCCCTGCTCTCCCCCTCGCCCCCTCTGGCCGGGCGCCTCCTCCCCCCTCTCCACGGCCCCGCCCCCGGTGCCGAGCCTGAGGCGTTGGCGCCGCGGCACGTGGGCGCCGCGAGTCTGGGCGTACAAGTCGGGCGTGTCCCTCTGCAGGAGGAAGGTTCACGAATAGGCAAGAAATTGTCTGGGGGCGATTTGTCCTGTATGTTTTTGAATGTTTTGGGGCACTGCTGGACTATTTCTCATGTTTCTCCTCCAAAAAATCCCCCTGTAGGAGGACAGGCCCGACCCAAGACTGCGCTGCCCACCGCCCTCCCTGTCCTCGAAGAAGAAAGCACGGCAGAAACCTAAGCTTTTGGCACTCCGCATGGGTTTCTTGGATCCGCGCTGGGCCCCCCCGGCAGCGCCTCTGGCGCCGCACGGCAGCCTGCCTTAGAGAGTAGAAGAGGAGCAGGGAGACGAGGCCGAGTGCCCAGGGTGTCAACGGCAGCAGGTTGGCCAAGAACGAGGATAACGAGCGGTCTCATCCCGACAGGCAGGTCATGAGCTTGAGGGGCAAACTCGGCGGCGAGCGAGGCGGGAGGGACAGTGGGAAGGAGAAGGCCAGGACTTCTCAGAAGCCTTCCGGCCTTCTGGGAGGCTTTTTTGTGCCTTCGGGGAAGGTTTAGAACATTTCTCAGAAGGCCGGGGGACTTCCGAGCCTTCTGAGAAGGCCCGCCCCTTCTCACTCCCCCCCTGGGCTCGCCGCCGATATGAGCTTGAGGGACAAACTCCTCATCGCCATCCTCGTCAGCTGTCCTCGGCTGAACGATGCTGCGCACCGCGGAGTGGGATGCCGAGGCCAGGTCCACGAGATACAGTAGAGCAGCGCGCCCCTGTAGTCGTGCCGCTTGAAGGAAGGTGGACGCCGTGTGCACCAGAGTCGATGGACACTTGCTCGACTGGCCGCCGCACTGCGCGTCCCTGAGCAGCATGTCCAAGTGGCACCACACTTGCCCTCGAAGGAATTTGTGCCAGCACTTGCCGACCACGCTCTTCAGCAGAATTGATCGGTAATATCATGGCAGAAAGAAGTTGCCAGCACCCTTCGATCGTGGAAACACCGCCCCGTGCTTCCATACGTACGGCTCCTGCTGGTAATGTCCAACACCGGATAAAAAAATATATGCCCCCCCCGCATCCCGACTGCCATTAATCCCCCTGGAAAAATTCCATGGATACAGATCGATGCCACTTGTATATACCTCGGTACCAGGGAGAATGCCGATGGGGATGTTCCTGTCTTCCGATCAGAGAATGAATGTTTACATTGGGTTTTCGCCACTGGGTTTTGGAGTTCAACATCGCTTCCGTGGTATAGCATCTATCAGCGGTGTGCCGCCGTCGCGCGCGCGTGCGCGCGTTGGCGATTGGTCTGTGTGCATTCAGTGTCGTATATCCACATGGGGATGTTCCCGTCTTCCGATCAGAGAATGAAGTTTTACATTGTGTTTTCGCAATTGGATTTGGGAGTTGAGCTTCGCTCCCGTTGTATAAAACCTATCAGCGGCATGCCGCCGCCGCGCGCGCGTGCTGGCAACTGGCATGCGTGCATTCAGTGTGGAGTATCTACATGAGGATGGTCCCGCTTTCCGATCAGAGAATGCATTTTCACATTGGGTTTTCGCCATTGGGCTTTGGAGTTCAACATGGGTCCCGCTGAACCGGAAAACAAAACAACAAAAAAAACGATCAGCGGCATGCCGCCGCGGCGCGCGCGCTGGCGATTGGCATTTGTGCATTCAGTGTCGTATGTCCACATGAGGATGTTCCCGTCTTCCGATCAGAGAATGAATTTTTTGAATGGGTTATTGCCATTGGGTTTTGGAATGGAGTGCAACATCGCTGCCGTTGTATCAAATCTATCAGCGGCATGCCGCCGCCGCGAGCGTGTTGGCGATGGGCATTTGTGCATTCAGTGTCGTATATCCACATTGGGATGTTCCCGCTTTCCGATCAGAGTATGATTTTTTTATATAGGGTTTTCGCCATTGGGTTTTGGACTGCAATCGCCCCCGTTGTGTCAAATCTATCAGCGGCATGCCGCCGCCGCGCGCGCTCGCTGGCGATTGGCAGTTTTGCATTCAGCGTCGTATATCCACATGGGGATGTCCCCGTCTTCCGATCGGAGAATGCATTTTTTCACCGGGTTTTCGCCATTCGGTTTTGGACATCAAATTCCGTCCCGCTGTAAAAAATCTATCAGCGGCATGCCGCCGCCGCGCGCGCGAAATTTCGTCTCGTTGCATAGCACTTATCAGCGGCATGCCGCCGCCGCCGCCGCCGCGCGCGCGCTGGCGCTTGGCATTTTTGCATCCGGTGTCGTATATCCGCATTGGGATGTTCCCGCTTTCTGATCAGAGAATGAATGTTTACATTGGGTTTTCGCAATTGGGTTTTGGAGTTAAACATCGCCCCCGTTGTATAAAAATCGATCAGCGGCGTGCCGCATTTGCGTATTCAGTGCCGCTTCGCAACCCAGACAGGGCGCGCGGTGCGCAGGGAGTGGTTATTGAGCGCAGTCTCTATCCACGCTGGAGTCGCAGGGCGTGGCAGGCGCGGCCTGGCGCCAAGAGGGGGTGCGCAGGAATCTGCCCCTGCACGCAGGGCGCCAGGGCGGTCGCGGGGACGTCTCCAGCGATCCAGTTTGCCCCGCCTCCCTTTTGTTTTCTATAGGCGCACGACAGCGGTGGGGAACACATGTTTTCATTTGTCTCCCCAGAAGAATTGTTTAAAAGTTTTTGGACATGATGCGTTGTTCTTAAACATGATCGGGACGCAGTGTCTGCCCATGGCTTGGGGGAGCAGCTTCAGCAAATCGCCCGAGACCCCATCCTGTCCACCAGCTTTGTGACGCGGCACCTTCCAAGGCAGAGGATTTGCTGTCTGAGGGGCAGGGAACAGGCCATGGTCTAGGTCGACGGATCTGGGGTGCTGGGGCAGCCTCTTGTAGCGCTTGGCCAGGTTGATCTCTTCAGCACTGCCGCTGCCCATCGCCCACTCGAGGTGTTTGGAAGCGTCCCCAGGCTTCGCAGTTCAAAATCCCTTCCCGGGTTCGTGGGCCCGGCATGCTTTGTAGATCCGACCAAAATGGGGCACAGCTAACCCGCATGGGAAGGACGAGCGATTTTACAAGGTTACCCTTTATGATGTTCCAACCCATGTTAGTCTTGACCACCAGAAAGAGTTTCGAGCACCACGAAAGTACTCAAACTTGAAGGCTTTCACGTGTCGGGCCGTGGGAGGCGATACTCGCTCGGCATTGCTTCGACACTTTTCTGGCCGCTCGAAAGTGTTTTTCGGATGTGGTCCGTAAGTGCGACGGGAGCAACACAAGGTTACCCATGCATCCTTCCTCTTCGGCCTATCCCTGGCCTTCGCTGGCCGCGCCCCGCTCGCAAAGCGTCGACATGGCCTTCCGAGGCCCTTGCATCCTTGTCGTGCGTCCTTGTCATACGTGGAGGGTTTCTTCGAAGCGCTTAGGCGACCGGTCCCACTCCTTCTCCTCCTCCTCCTCCTCTCTCTCCTCCTCCTCCCCCTGCTCCTCCTCCTCCTCCCCCTCCTCCTCCTCCTCCTCGTTCTTCTCCTCCTCCTCCTCCTCCTCCTCCTCCTCCCCCTCCTCCTTTTCCTTCTCCTCCTCCTCCTCCTCCTCCTCCTCCTCCTCCTCCTCTTCCTCCTCCTCCTCCCCCCTCTTCCTCCTCCTCATCCTCCTCCTCCTCCTCCTCCTCCTCCTCCTCCTCTTCCTCCTCCTCCTCCTCCTTCCTCCTCCTCCTCCTCCTCCTCCTCCTCCTCCCCCCTCCTCCTTCCGCCTTCCTCCTCCTCCTCCTCCTCCTCCTCCTCCTCCTCCTCCTACCTCCTCCTCCTCCTCCTCCTCCTCCTCCTCCTCCTCCTCCTCCTCCTCCTCCTCCTCCTCCTCCTCCTCCTCCTCCTCCTCCTCCCGTAGCCATTTTGGCTCCAGGCTAAACGTTGTGAAGGGCTATAGACGCCCGAGAACCAGCGATTAGCCTCGGCCCTCCGTAGCCAGGGCCCAATCGTTTTGGCAACGTATCGTCCACGCGAGCGCGTGGCCCGCCCGCCCAGCCCGAAGGGCCTTCTTGCACTACTCGTTTTGGGAATCGTCCTAGTGCGTTTGAAGGAATCGGCATGGCGCGCGGCAAGTACTTGGTGTGCCCGTGGCACGGTTGCAGTGGCTGGGCTTGGGCCGACCGCGGAGCTTCCCACTGCACTCGCTGTGGCTCGAAGCTCGCCGCGAAAAAAGATGGCTACCAACGATGACATGCCCCCAGGAGGAGGTGGTGGAGTACGACCAGGCCGCCCGCGGTCAGTCAAGTTTGAGGTTGAACGAGATGCAGGGCAGAAAGCAGGTGGACGACGAGGAGGACGATGGCGAGGTCGCTCGCGAGATTCCCAAGGAGCTGGCGCAGAAGAACCACCTGCCCGCGAAGAAACCACCACCGAGAAGGTCACGGACGGCGCCAAGCAGCAGGACTCCAGCGGGTCCGCCATTGAGCCCGCGCAGGCGTAGATGGTTTTCTGGAAACAGTGGAAGGGTGACGCCAGCCAGGAGTATAAGGATGCGGTCGAAGGTTCCAGACGAGCAAAGCAGGCGGCACTACAAGACAAAACGCCTGATCAACAGGTCCAGAGCCTCACTGACCAGCTGGCGCAGGCGAAACGTAAGCATGGACAGTGCAGGAACACGGTCAACCAGCTCACCCAGCAGCTGGTCACGATGGCTGACAAGC